GGGGGGTTTGAGAACTTCAAAAAATAAATCTTTTGAAGGCAATGGGCTCTCTCCTCTCAAGAAAACAGCACATCCCCACACAGCAATAAAACATTTGAGGGGTTTCATCCCCCCCCCAAGACCATCACAGACCCCAAACTACAACTCTAACTTGGACAACAAGACAAGTCAATGCAACTTTCTGCAATGCAGTATTTGAGAACTAAGATGTTCAAGAATAAAATTTCAGGGAAGACTACAGAGCAATTTCTAAGGAAAAAAGGACATGCCACATGCTTTCACATTACCTCCCTTAGAGGGTGCATCTGGCATCGGTAAATTTTCAAGTCTAAAAGAAACTTGGGAGATCATCGTTCAAAAACTGAAGCCCCAAAAGGTGAAGAGGTTCATGCAAGGTCACCCACTCGTTCCTGGTCAAGTTAGGACAAGGCAGTTCTCTGGTCCCCAAATCCGATGCTCCGTCCACTCAAATCTCACTGGTTTCTTACACTGCGCCCCAAAGCGCCAGTACTCTGAGAATTGGGAGAAAGCGGGGAGCAGAGGGAAGGCCGGGAAGCGAGGGAAAGGGAAAGCTAGACAGAGAATGGTCACTCTCTTCCCACCGACCGGAATGGTTGCAACACAGCCGAGGAACAGCCCGACAAGCAACGCTTACCTGTCTGGGGCCCAGAGGCGGGTGGTGCGGTCTCGGGACACGGACACAAAGGCCCCCGGCGGATAGAGGCAGCACACCAGGCCCCGCACGTCCAGTTCGTGGCCCGGGAGCGAGCAGCTCAGCCGGTACCTGGCGGCGCCGCTCGCCATGGCCAGTGTGGGTCGGGCGCCCAGGGCCCGGGCACCGCACGAGATCAGTCCCCAGTGGAGACTATGCGTGCGCCGGACCGCTGCGGGAAAAGGGCCTACAGGTGAGGGGCTGCGGAGACCGGAAGAGCCCGAGAGCCGGTACGGAAGGGCGGCGGGGAAGGGGCGCGCCGAGAGGGCCGGGTGACACAGCAACCCTGACAGACACGCCGGAATTCATCATCGGCCTCCGCCCGCCATGACGCAGAGCGTGTGCGCCCGACTACCGAGGCCGACGCGGAGCCGAGCTTCCCTTCCCTTCTGCGCTCTGGACCGCCAGCCGAGGAAGAGATAACGACTCCCGGCCCTTCTACCCGAGCGCCCGAGCCCCGGGTCCTTCTTTCCAAACCCGGGTCCTTTCCGAGTTCCGCTCCAGCCGTTTGTGGTAATTGGGGCAGCGGGCAAGGACTACAAATCCCACAATGCCGCGCGCCAGCAGGACGTGAGCGGTCGGCGCGCGGATTCTGGTTATTTTAAATCTGGCTCCGCTCAGCCGGATGGTTGAGTGAGGTTGTTTGATGTCTTCTGTTAGATCATCTTTGTCCCGTTTTCCTCAGTCTCCAGAGATTTTTTTACAAGCTGAACGTTGTTTTTTAAATTAAAACGATAGAGCTTGAGGCCAAATTGGAAACTAGTAATCGCTTGCTTTCGTTTCAAGGTAATCCAATATCCTTGCCCTCTGTCATCAGATTTAGCAAATAAATGCGGTGGGCGATGTCCATTCTTTTAAAGTTTGCCTACTTTGCCTGGTGGTTTGTTAAAATACACATTCTGATTCAGTAGGTCTGGGATGGAGTTGAGAATACATATTTTTAACAAACCCCTGCTGATAACTCCTTGCTAGTCATCATCGGACCGCATTGAGCGCTAAAGTGTACATGATCTGTCTACGTACTTTAAGTTTCCCTTCCACCCACTGTTTTCTCGCATCCAACTCCACCTCTCCACAAACCCTGCTAAATTGCTAATTCCAATTCTCACTTTTCTGACTTCTCCCTTCTTGAAACTCCCACTTTAGGTTTGGCATCAGTACTCCTCTGGTTTGTTTCCTTGACGTAAGCCCTGAAATGTTGACATTTTAATACCGCTTTTGCCATCATTCTCTGTCTGTCTGTCTGTCTGTCTATCTATCTATTATTTACTGCTTTGCTTATTTCTAAAGCTGTATTCCCAGACTGAATTCTCCAAACTCCAGATCTGTATTACCAGCTGTCTTTTAGAAATCTCTACCTAGTTGTGTCTTGCTTAAATTATTTCAACATTTTAGGCCGGCCCGTGGCTCACTCGGTAGAGTGCGGTGCTGATAAAACCAAGGTCCCGGGTTCGGATCCCATATAGGGATGGCCGGTTTGCTCACTGGCTGAGCGTGGTGATGACAACACCAAGTCAAGGGTTAAGATCCCCTTACCGGTCATCTTTTAAAAATAAATAAATAAATAAATAAATAAATTATTTCAACATTCTCTAGTCTTTCTGCCCCTACTCGCCAACCAATCCTACACATTAAAATAGGATTATCTTTCTAAAAACTGCATTTAATTCTGTTATTCCTCTGCTCAGTAATCTCAGATGGCTTTCCATTCTTATCTTTTTTTTTTTTTTTTTTTTTTTTTTTTTTTTTAAA